AGTCTCCTGAGTAGCTGGGACTACAGGCACAGAACACCCTGCCAGGCTGATTTTTTATATTTTTTGTAGAGGCAAGGTCTTGCTATATTGCCCAGGCTGGTCTTGAACTCTCAGCATTAAGTGATCCTCCCACCTCAGCCTCCTAAAGTGCTGGGATTATAGGTGCGAACCATCATGCCTACCCTATAATGTTTTTTTAGCTATTCAATGGGGTAACATCTGTAAACATCTAGCAAAGTGCCTATCACATAGCAAGGACTTGGCTATTGAACAATCATACATCAATCATATCCAGTTAGTTTCTGTCTAATAATCGGATATGATTTCTGACTCTTCCCCAAGTGTGAATAGCTTGTGACATTGGTTTGATTTTTGAAATGATGCTGCCATCTAGTGAAAACTCACTGTCCTTCCTCTCCACACACAAGTTGCCACCCAGCTTTACTGCTGACAATATGGATTAGCATCACCACATAGAGCCCTGGGACCACTTGGTACCTGGAAAAGTTGTTCTGACCAATGATTCCCAAAGTATGTGTGCTGAAAAAAATGTACATGTCTTAATAGAGTATTCATGAAAATACTCAACTATCCCTTTAAAAATAATCCCTTAGACTGCCTGATGGTTAAAATATGATTCATCATATCCAAGTCTACTTTTGAAGATTCCTCTGCCAAAAATAGCAGCTCACTTACCTAGGGCTGAGAGCTGCATAGATCCAGTAATGTAAATAACGCCCAAATTATGAGCCTATGGCCCTGCCCAGCACTTGGTATCTAACTCACCTCTTTTACCTAAAGTTCTAAACTTTGTTAAGTACTCAGGACAAGGCAAAGCTTTTCTTCTTTATTAAAGCTTCAGCATGCCTCCTTCATCTGAACCATTTACTTTCTTTTCATGATAAGTTGTATCTTACCCTGAAAACTATGCTATCTAACATTATCATTCACACTGAGACTTTTTCATAACTCACATTTATCCTTTTAGTTTTATGAAGTCATCTTGACCAATGTTACAGCAATTTCGGTCAGCTGATTGTGGTAAACAATGTTTAATATGAAGAGAAATTAAAACTTTCTTCATTGTCACAAATATAAAAAATTCACAACCCATTGGACACCAATAATTTTGTGAAATATAATAAAAACAAATTAGTAGGAAATTGAAATAAAAAGTAGTATACAATGCAAACCAAATTTTTAAAAGTATGAAATTCAGCAGCATAAAACTGTTATGTAAATTTCTGACCACTCACTCTGGGTTTTAGCACTTACCTCTCCATGGACTTTGTAGCAAACAGTTGCACTAACACAGGTCCGTGGATACACTTTGAGTAGCTGGGATCTAGCTGGGGCAGCCCATCATAGCTTATCAATCCTGGCAAGCAATAAAGGCTGGGAAAGCCCCTGGCCTGCATATAATTTGTCCTGTAGGTGAGAAAAGAAGTAAATATGAAAAAGTGGGGCGATGTGACTTTTGAGACATTGAGACGTATCTAAATTCCAGCATATTCACCTGCAGTTGCTTGTGAAGTGTTTAAACACACACCTAGTGGTTTATAAAAATTTTTAAACAGGTGGAGAATGACACAACATTGAATGTTACTATTGCTACTGAAGCCCAGATTCTAACATCTAACAGCAAAGACTTAACTGCCGAGGACATCACTTCTGCTACTAGAGTGGTTGGACAAATCTTCAAC